AAAGCCAATATTTATATAGTTATTTTAATAAGGATACCAATCAGCCAACAGAAGATAACTTTTTAGTAACTTTTGATGGGTATCAAATTAAAATTAAAAGAGCACCCTTTATTTATGAGGGAAGTGAGGGATATTCATTGTTTGGTTTTGAACTTGAAAAGGTTCATCAATCTCTTAAATAATATAGGTGAAATCATTTTTATATTCACTATTGAAGAGCTCATAATCTAATTATGAGTTCTTCAATGGATATACCTTATATACTTTATCCTGCTTGTATTTATTCTTATGCTCAATGAAACGTAGCCCATTTTGTGACTTCGGCCATTTATTTTTTAAACACATATCAATTTCTACAGTATTTATTCCGCCAGAAAGTTTTGTAGCTCTCCAAACACATTGCCCGAAAGCTTTAATATGATTCTTAGTAACTACTCTAATCATTGCTGGTGATAAGGCTAGGCCAACACCAATATCTAATTTAGGTAAATTATATCTATCAAAAAGTATATTATTTACAATATCTCTTGTCAGAGTCACACATGCTTTTGAGGCATGATATGCATCATAGATTTCCTGTTTGTCTTTATATTGTATAAAACCTAAAATACCATCGCCTAAGTATTCTGTTACTTGCCCTTTAAAAAAATTTATAGTCGTCTCTAAAGAGGGTAACATGGCCGATGTTTCGTAAAAAACACGTTGAATTCCATTATCTCTTTCTATATTTTTAAATCCATTCCTGTTTGTTTGAAGTCTATCCGTAGAATTTCTAATGTCACAAACAATGGCTATAAAGTCATCAATTTTAGGATCAAATAGACTTACTTTCTCATATCCAGGTATTAGACTGGCTTCCATACTATCTTGAAATTTTTGACTTGCATGCTCCAGATGTAATGACTCATCTGAGGCCATTCTATTTGTGGCATTAGTTTTTTTCCAATCAAATTCAGCTTTATCTAAATGTGCATTACAAACTTTAGTAATTTGATTTTTTAAATCAATTATTCTACTCTCATTTATTCCAATGATTTCTGAATATTTATATACATTCATTTTATTTAACCAACAAATAGGAGATAAAAAGAAAAACTGCAATAATAATCAATATACGTATTGCTGTTAT